CACTGAGGTGGGTTCAAGAGAGACTAGGACTGTAGGGCAAACAACCCAGTTATTTTTTTTTTAATTGCAAGAGAAAAAGATGGAGAAACCTGAAGGTTAAAAGACATTTACACATACTTGTACAAATGGGAAAGTTTCTGTAGTATATACCTAGGAGTGAAAGCACCGGAGCATAGGGTTAAATGTAAGTTTAACTTTATAAGATAATGCTAAGTTGTTTTCCAAGGAGATTGTGACAATTTACACTTTGCTTTTTTTTTTTGAGTTGGATTCTCACTCTGTTGCCCAGACTGGAATGCAGTGGCCACTCCCGGCCACAGCAGCCTCGACCTGCTGAGCTCCAGCCATCCTTCCGCCTCAGCCTTCAAGTAGCTGGAACTACAGGCACGCGTTACCACGCCCGGCTAATTTTTGATTTATTGTAGAGATGAGGTCTCACCAAGTTGCCCAGGTGGGTCTCGAACCCACGGGCTCAGGCAATCCACTCACCTCAGCCTCCCAAGACGCAGGATTACAGGCTGAGCCACAGAGCCCAGCTACAATTTACACTTTCACAATAGTATATAAAAATTCCAGACATTCCACATCCTCATCAACACTTGGAATTGCAGACTTTTAAATTTTTGCCAATTTTGGGGTATAAAACTATAATTACTGATATTTAAATTTATTTATTATTTTTTAAGAGATACGGTTTCACTCTGTTGCCCAGGCTAGAGTGCAGTGGCATGATCATAGCTCATTGCAGCCTCGAATTACTGGGTTCAAGCAATCCTCCCTCCTCAGCCTCTCAAGCAGCTGAGATCACAGGCGTGTGTCACCACACTTGGCTAATTAATATTTTTTTGTAGAAATGGTTTCTTGCTTTGTTGCCCAGGCTTGTCTCAAACTCCTGGTCTTGTGATCTTCTCACCTCAGTCTCCTAAAGTGCTGGGTGTTTTATTACACATGTGAGCCACTGCACTTGGCCTATAATTACTGATTTTTTTTTTTTTTTTGAGTTGGAGTCTCACTCTGTCCCCCAGGATGGAGTGCAGTGGCATACTCATGGCCTCTGCAGCCTTGACCTGCTGGGCTCAGGTGATCTATCTACCTCAGCTCTCCAAGGAGCTGGAACTACAGGCATGTACCATCACGCCTGGCTAATTTTTCTTGATTTATTGTAGAGATGGGTCTCGCCAAGTTGCCCAGGCTGGTCAAGAACCTGTGGGCTCAGGCAATCCTCTCACCTTGGCCTCTCAAAGTACTGGGATTATAGGCCTGAGCCACAGTGCCCGGCCTAATTACTGATTTTAATTGGAGTTTTCCTTATTGCTAATAAAGTTTCATATTTTTTCATGTTTTTTTTTTAACCATTTTTGTTTACTTCTTTGAGGAAGAAGTATCTTTTATATCTATTCATATCTTTTGTTCATTTAAAAAAAAAACAGGTTTCTTGTCCCTTTTTATTTTTTATTTTATTTTATTTATTTTTATTTATTTTTATTTTTTTGAGTTGGAGTCTCACTCTGTACCCAGACTGGAGTGCAGTGGCCACTCCCGGCCACCGCAGCCTCGACCTGCTGGGCTCTGGCAATCCTTCCGCCTCAGCCTTCCAAGTAGCTGAAACTATAGGTGTGCGCTACCACACCTGGCTCATTTTGATTTATCGCCAGTTGCCCAGGCTGGTCTCGAACCCGCAGGGTCTCGAACCCGCAGACTCAGGCAATCCACTCACCTCAGCCTCCCAAAGGCACAGGATTACAGGCTGAGCCACCAAGCCCGGTTTTTTGTCCCTTTTTAATTAATTATAGGAAGTTCTCTCTCTTTTTTTCACTTTTTTTTTCCCCGAGAGACAAGGGCTCACCAATTGTCCAGGCTGGTCTCGAACCACTGGGCTCAGGCAATCCTCTTGCCTCAGCCTCCTAAAGTGCTGGGATTACAGGTGTGAGGAATTCCTTACATATTCTATACACTAATCTATTTTTAATTCAAATGTGACCAATATCTTCTCCAAATCTGTGAGTCATTTTTTATTTGATTATTATTTTAAAATAATTTTTGAAAGTAACAATTGAGGCCGGGCTCGGTGGCTCAGCCTGTAATCCCGCACCTTGGGAGGCTGAAGTGAGTGGATTGCCTGAGCCCGCCGGGTCGAGACCCGCCC